CTATTGCTTGATTGGGCCAAATTTGTTTGGTAATTGCTTTGGATTAAATTGTATGATGAGTTTGTTTTTGGTATTTGGGTTGATACATAATATTTATTTTTTTCCCTTGGATTTATTCACCTCCACAATTGATATAACAAGGCAAATTACATAGCTACAATTGCTCCAAGTAAAAATTTTCATATGTACAACATAATAAATTTTATCAATTAAGGAGAGACCTCCATATAACTACTGCACGAAAATATTAAAGGAGAAACAAATTAGTTCTTCACTATTGGAGTTAGTTCTTCACTATTGGAGAAGCAACTTAATACTAATTTGAATGTAAAACAACCACCATAAATAAATTTCAAAATTACTCAAATAATACTTCAAAATAATCCAACTCTAATAAAACAATAACACATCATATTAGTACAAATATTTAGGTCCAAATCAAATTACTCATTAGTCGAAATTGCTACTACAAATAGAGAAGAAGTCCAATAATGCAAATTACGTAACAAGTGTTGCAAATAGTCCTAGATTATGAAATATTACAATGAGACATGCTCCATTCTCCAAATTTTAGTCCTGACTGTCATGAGATGAGCCCTGTTAAAAGACAAATACAAAAAGTGAATTTGAATCAATATTCTTTTATCCCCAACAAAATTAAATATCATCAAGATCAACCTATTCTTAAACCTGAGGTGAATGCGGAAACGGATATCCGAATAAATTCAATTGACCAGCAGCGCCTCCCTACAAAACAAATATATAATATATAAATACATGTCTTTTTTCATGTGTTTACCATTATATTTATATATATATATATATATATATTACCCCTTGAGTTGGATATTACCAAGGTACTTGACTTGATCGGGACTGAGGTGAAAATTGTGGAACTTGGAATGGAAATTGATGTGGTGGAACATTCGAGAATTGGGGAAGCGGTATGTTGGGGAACTGAGGTAGCGGCATATTAGGAACTTGAGTTCGTTGGATACTATTCGATGGTTGTGAGCTTTGAATGCCTTGTGTACTTTGAACTTTTCTTTTCGGTCCCTTTTCACCTGAAAAGGAATAAATTCAATCAAGTTAGAAAAAAAAGAACATTGATTTTTTATTTGAAAGACAATTCAACATTATTTAGCTAAACAAAAAACTTACTTGAAGTATCCCCATGCACCTTCGAAATTCCTTTTCCCTTTTTCTTCTTTTTATCCCAATGACGAGTAATGCATGCATTAGTTAATCCTCTTGACTTGGCCGTAAGTGGATTACGTATTCGCACACTATGCTCATTACCATCATTTTCAACATCATCATGCATACCCGAATCTTCAAGATCCAAATTTTGAATAAAATCAACAATTTGGTCTCTTGTTGAATCGAGTATTGTGTTCAACATGTTTCGTGCCTCCAAGTGAGGTTTACTCATGTGAGCAAGATTATAGGCCGCTCTCATTACTTTGTTCACAAAGACAAGATTGGATTCTTCACCACTTCCACAAGAGACATTAGAAGCCTTAAAATCATTAAAAACCCTCAACCTCGCACATTTCATCCACCTCTTTAAAAGATAAGCCTCCGGTATCACAGTTACATCCATGTAGTTAAACACCATTAAAACATGCTTGCATAAGATTCCCATGGTCTCAAACTTATGACAACTACACCTTGTCTCATTAGTTTGAGTATTCATCAAAACATGCCTTATTCTTAAGCTATCACCGTGGGATTTCACTCGAAACTCTAGCGAAGAACCATCTTTACCATTACTAAAAGGTTGGCCATCAAATTTGCAACTCAAAGAATTAACAAGTTCAATCTCAAACAACCCATAAATAGTAAGCGTGTATACACTAGCAGCATGATTGAGCAATGGGTGGTTCTTAAGAATTTGAGAGGGTTTTTCATGACGACAACGAGTGTCTTCAACCTTCTCTTTTGTGCGCCACTGATTTTGAACTTTTTCATAATTCATTATGAACTCATACAAAGAGCTATTCTTGCTACCTGTCTCTTTTAAGACTTTATTTGCATTCTCACTCCTCGATGTAGCCAAAAGTCCGGCACTGAATAACTTGTTACTAAAAGCTGTAGCCCATTTTCTCCTAAGCTCGTACATGCCATTCAACCATTTATGATCATGCAAATGATATGAATCTACCATAAATTTCCAAGTGTTCTCAAACTCTTCCTCAGACTCGCAATGAGACATGCACTTATACCATAAATCCTTAAAGGATGAATTACCATTTAAATTCTGTGTGAAGGTGCATTTTGATTTATATGCCACTGACACAAACGATGATGAGAATTCGGGAAAACATTTTCTATTGCATTCATCATGGCTTGACATTGATCGGAAAATATTATTTGAGGTTGTTTACCATTCATTGAATCAAGAAATGTAGTGAACAACCATTCAAATAAACTTTGAGTTTCATCCGACATAAAAGCCAAGCCAAATAAAACATTATTCCGGTGGTGATTTATGCCAATAAATGGAGCACATATCAAATTATACTTATTTGTTCTATAAGTAGTGTCAATCGACATAACATCACCAAAGTACTCGTAGTCCACCGCACACCTATAATCCCTGAAGAAAAAATTCATCACCCGATCATCATCATTCAACTGCACATTCCAATAAAAGAAAGGTTCTGCATTTGCCTTGCTTATAAAATGTTGAAGTAATGCACTGGCATCCCCATTTTTAATTTTTGTATGCTTCTTTAATCTCCCAAAATGGTCATATGCATCCTTTCTAATAAAGCCTAAATTTTCAGGCCCATGTGCTTCATTCTCCATGTAAGAAACAGCATTAGCAAAAGATATTCCAGCATTCACCATTGCTTCTAAAGTTGATTTTTTGGCATGAGAAATGTTACGAGCTGACCTTAGCAAATGAGTTTGGTCTGGAGCAAACATTTCATGATTATGTTCAACAACAAATTTACTCACTTGCCAATCTCCCCCTTTCGGCCTCGTAATCTTAAGTTGTGCTTTACATGAAGTTCTAGTTACCGGCTTTTGATAAATTGGTATTTTTTTACTAGAACGTTTTTCATCTTTTTCACCCGCACAAGAACAACTAAAGCTCTTCGACTGAATTTCACTACTACGGGGAAAACAACGTTGATCTCCTTTTCTAACGCTAAATCCTTTAGCATGTGCATATTGACAATAAAGCAAATAAGCATCTTCAATACTATTCACCATTGTACCCACAGCTAATTTACCCTCCAAAACATCAACCATATTATTTGAAGATTGTACCTCACAATGTGCAATGGGCATAAACTCCGACGCCTCCAATTCGGGATGCTCCAAATCAACACCAAAAAAGTCATCTGCTCCGAAATTGGCTCCATTCAAATCTTCATTTAAAAAGGATGAATTGATGTCCATGTTCCTACAATTTTCGCAGAAAAAAAAAATAAATAAAATAAACATCAGTTTCTTAAACAACTTAATTTAATTGATAAACTAATATTTACAAAGATTCATAGTGAAGGTGCATTTACATTAACAACAGAAACTTCAAAACACATAAAAAGGATTAATATTAACAAACATCCAAAAAGACTACAAAATTAAGAAAAAAGTACAGCAACAAAAACATACCCATAGCTACAACAAAAAAAATGACTGAATTTTTTTATTTTTGCTTGGAGATAATAAAAAATTGAAACTAGCAAGTACCTATTTCAGAAAACCGAGAGGATAAATTGGATGTTGGCAATCTCAATTTTGCGGGTGAGAAGTGGTGGTACCGAGCTAGTGAACGGGTCTCGGGCCGGAGTGGAGTCAAGCGTTGAGGGATGTCGCGGTAGTGACGGTGCGCCGGAGAGGTTTAAGGGTCGGCCGGGGTGATGACAGGCGGGCCCAACGCGGTTATGGGTCTCCGGCGACGGGGTGACGGGGCGCCGGAGTAGTGTGGGGAAGTGACGGTGTGATTAGGCGGGCCTGGCGGCGCAGAGGTGGTGACGGCGGGACGAGGCGAGGCCGTGATGAGTTGGGCGGGCGGCGTAGAGGTGGTGACGGGAGAGGTGTTGAAGGCGCACAGATCGGTAAAAAGAATTAGGGTAATTTTTATTTTATTTTAATTTTAACTTTAATCATGCTTCATTTTTCGTAATTGATGGTGTTAACCATAGTTTAGGTTAATTGGTTATATTAATATTTTTATCATAAAAAAATAAAAATAAAAAAAATATATTAAAAAAGAAGAGAAACACGTGTCATGATATTAACATGTAAAGGCAGTGCCTTAACCTGTAGCGTCGAATTAACCCTCAATATCATTATGTTTTTGGATGCAATTGCAGTTAATTAAGTAAAGCCTTGTAGTTGGTGCATGAACTGATGTATGAAAAAAAATTGCGTGTCTAAAATAGATTTTCTTATATGGGCTTCATTTATTTATTTTACACGAAATGGCCTTTAAGTAGTGCTTTTGCTTGTTATGATGAATGCTGCCTGATAAACCTATACTTCACTTTACAAGGTTCACTCTAATGACAGTCGAACAAATAATTATTGAGGGGTACTTGTGGATTCCAAAGATTAAAGATAGTTTCAAATAGGATACTTTTTTAGTCATTAATAACATATAGAGCCTTTATTCAAATTGCATTGTTTGCCAACACTGTCCACTCATTCAGTTATTAAAGCAAACCGAGCTCGAAAACCAATCAAGTTCGAACAACTAAACGAGCTCATTTATTAAACAATTTGATTGAACATGATTGAACAAATCGTGTTCACAAACAGCTCGCACATAATTTGTATTTATTAAACAAGTCGAATCGCATCAAGCCAAGCTCTCACAAGTTTATAAGAGTGGAACTTGAGCCAAATTATTTAACGAATAGTCTAGTCAACTTAATAACAACCTAATAACTTGTATATTCATACAGTACTTATCACTACAAAAAAAAATGTTATATTCCAACGAGAAATCCTACAATAATATATTCCAACGGATATTCCAACAAAAATATTGCGTTGGAATGACTTTTCCATTGGAATTTTAGATGAAATTTAATGATTCCAACGGCTATTTTTCCAACAGTTTTTTACCGAAGAAATTTCCGCTGGAATATGCAATTACCGTTGGAATTTTTATTTTCACATCCATTGAAAAATCGACCGTTGGAATCATCATAATCCAACAGAAATTCTAATGGAAAACTCATTCTAACGGAATATTTTTGTTGGAATTTCCGTTGGAATTCCATTAAAACATATTTATATTGAAACTTTTCGTTGCAATTTCATCATTTTGTTGTAGTGTATTAAGTTTATTATAATATATATTATCACAACAAAAAATTGTTGATTCACTTGTCCAAATTAGTTAAACTTTACCCCTTGTTAGTCGGTATTCCTCTCTCCCGGTTTTGACAGTCTACGGGCGTCAGGGCTTCCTCACGGCGTTCAATGGAGGCCGTTTTCCAACCCTCTTCCAACTGAAGGTCGGCGTTGGGGCTCCTCCTCGGTGTCTGGTGGAGGCCGCCGTCTCCCTCGTCCTCTTGCGTCGGCGCTGACTGACGTGTGTTCCAGTTGTCGTCCTTCCTTCCTTTTTCATAGATCCACTCCCGTTCGCAGATGTGGATGTCAGTTTCGACTCCTTGTATGATCCTTTTAGTCGTTCCTAACTGAATTGGAGTTTTAAAGTTTGAGAGTGTTGGTTCTGCAGATCGAGTTTGTGTTTAGGCTTAAGGTCTTCTAGATGTGTGTGTTGGTTTGGATGAGTGGTGTTCAGTTCGTTACAGAGTAAAGTGAGAGAGATCTTATTATATTATAGTTTATCTCTTTTTTTTAGTCACTATCCCTTTGTGGAGTAGTTTAGTCTTTCTTTGTCTCCATTGTTTTGGAGTTTTTTGTAGGGTTGTTCCTTTTGTAGAGAGGGACTTTTATGTTAAGTAACTCCCCCTAATTCGTTTCTCTTTTCACTTGACAGTTTAAATGATCATGTGGTCAATTGGTTGCCGATTGCACCTTATCTAAGGTTATTATAATAGATGAGAAAAAAAAATAAAAAAATAAAATAGTAATAAGGAAAGGAAGAGTGTGAATATGAATTATTCTTGTTAAGACTTTTTTTTTTTTTCAATTCTTGTTAAGACTTAAGAGTGGAAAATGTGGAATATTATTATGAAGATTAATTAGAAAAGAAACAAAAATGGAAAAATAGACCGAGAAAGTGAGAGTCAACCGACGTAGAGTGGGTAGAAAATAATGGCTGAAAGCATCCTTTCTTCTTCTCCAAATTAAATCCTCCAACCTTCAATCTCCATGACTATAACTACAGAGACAAGTCGAGATTAAATACACAGGTTTGATAATTCATGCTTTGCCCTTGTTCTTATCANGGTTCCATTGGTTGGTGGCTTCAACTGGGTTTCCATTGAGGATAAGATTGATGGGCATGTTGGACAATATAGGGATTTTCTTTGTGGGTTTTGCAATTCTGATTTTGTGTTGAAGTTTTGGTGGGCTGTGTTAGTTGGAAAATGATCATAGGACTTTTTTGTTGAATCATATTATACAAATTGGTTGAATTAGGACGTGTAAAGATCAGATTTTGGGCTAAGTTTTGAACTAATTCAGTACAGTATGTGAATCTGAACTATGAGGATTGTGAGTTTTGATCAACTTTTCATCTACGTGCTGAATTTTTCACTTTTCTTCATGCTGAACCTTGATGAAAGAATTGACAGATGTGTTTTGCTTTGGTTAAGGTACTCAGAGGAGGCTGTTGAAGGGAGAACCAGAATATTATAATTCGCCTCCAGAGGAATGTCCATGGATCAGAGTAATATAACTTTGCTTTTTGTCTCTTGGTTTCCAGTATATTTCAATATCTGTGATGCGGCTTCTTCTCATTTAGCTGATATGCGATATTGTCATATCATACTGCAATGAGTTCTCTTTCATTTTTATTTTATTTTTCGAAAATTGTTGGATTTTTGGTAAGCGTAGAAAATCAAAAGGGCAACTTTCTTTGGCACACAAAGTTAGAGAGAAAATTTGTTTAAGACTTTAATTGATTCCACTAGTTGTGTCCTTTCACGTGTTCCCCGAAAATCTATGTCAGGAAACTTAGATAATTCAATACTTTTAAATTCATGGATTGGGACTTGAGCCAGCGAACCTAGCAATAATCTGAAACACTTCTTCAGATCTCTTTAGGGCATGCCATGATATGGCATGAGTTGGAATAAAAGTAGATTTGAGGAAAAATAAATGACCTATTACTATATTTTGGAACTTGTTGGTGTTACAGATGTTAATGTTGAGGAAGGAGAGGGTAGAAATGCTCTTGAGATGGCCAGATCAGTTTCGGATAAGCATCTTGATCTTTTGAGGCCATCCGCCCGATATTATTCCATATTTAAAGGTAGTCGTTTCGTTTGGTTTTCTTGTGATACACAACTAAAAATGGGTTCTGGAGTACTCTTTTTAAATGACAAGTAAATTAACGATCAACCACAAGTTTTCCGATACTCTAAACATAAAGAATGGCCTTTATGATGGCCCAATCGATTTTGTTCGTTTCACCCAATGCTTATACAGTGTCTGTGCTCATTAATAGTACCTTATTGCCATCCAGAAAATTTGGGTGTGTGTTCTTATTTCTTGTATTTTTTATGTGAATGTTTTGTGCTCTAGTATGTAGGTAAGGTGTGTATGTTTTTGTTGTCTCACACTGTCTGTATTAGTTGCTTTCTCCTCTGTTTTCTCATCTAGTTTGTAGGTAAAGTGTGTACCTTATACTCCTTCCATAGCATGAAGATAGGCTTGTTTACTTAACTCAATTTAATAGAGCATTAATACCTGCTACTAGGATAAAGCATTCAGGACTAATTTACTAATATACCCTTTAAGGCCATAAAGGGAACTTATAACATTTTTGTGGGACAAGCGAAAAATAGTTATCAAACCTAACTTCGTGGTACGAAGGGATTAAAAAGAGGTTAGCCTCAGAAATTTTCTAGTATATTTAGGTTTCTCCATAATTCTAAAAGTTTTGTTTCCATAGGACAAGCAACAGATTCAACAGACCGGGCAAAAGGCAAGTATACACTGATTAGAGGCGAGGATGACACTCAACTGGGGTTATATGATAAGCCTCTTCCTTGCTTTGGCTGTGGAATTGGATGGTTCTCGTAAGTATATTATTCTCAGATACGTTTATTTGCTACATTTTTTTTCCAATTCACCTCTTTGTCATAATTTAAAATGTTGTGTTATTCTTTCAGTTTCCTATTGGGTTTCTTGTGCCCCCTAATGTGGTATTATGCTACAATTTTGTACTTTGGGAATTATTATCGAAAGGATCCTAGGGAACGAGCTGGACTTGCTGCTTCTGCTATTGCTGTAAGCCTATAACTCTCGGTTTTTTTTTTTTTTTTTTATGCTGATTTATGCTGTAGAATTAAACTAAGACCTGGATTTGTACTTTGCAGGCCATGGGCTGCTCCATCATATTGCTAATCGTAGTCTTGGTTCTGATTTTCTAGCCGACTTTCTAAATGCACCACAATCGATGCTTACTTGAACCAGTGTGCAGCAATTGATATTCTGTATACGTGTTGATATCAATTCTTGATGGATATAATGAAAATGCTTCATAGAGTTGAATTTTGTGAATCTACCCTTTACATAATAAATACATGGGACGAAAAGCAATGTTCCATTTAGTTACTTTTCTTATCAAAAAGATTGAGCAAATTGCTGAAATTGCAGCACTTTTTGTTTTTGGTCTACTTCAATTTATGTTGCAACATTTCAATCATCACGACTAAATGGAAATGCAAGATAAGATATCTCATAGGGCCTGTCTTACATCGAATTGGCAAACAGAAATATACTCCTCACTGCAAAGTTACAAAATGTAGTTCTACTCAATGGTGCCAAGGGTCAAAAAGTAAAAACCAATATATCAAATCGATTGAGTTCTGGTGAGAACAAAAATTTCGGCGAAATTCAAGAAATCGCTCCACACTGCACGAGGCACAGTTTTAGCTGGTGGTGGCTAACCGGACAAATTTCCCATCGACAACAAATCTCGAGCTTGATTTTATCTGCCCAACATTTTTAATTGTGTGAAGAGATCATAACTGTTAGAGAGTAGGCTAGAGGAGGACTATACAATCTTGAAAACACAGAACAGATACAAATGCAACAAGTAACTTACCTTCTGGTCAATAAGTTCATATACTTGCCTTCTGCTTTCTGTGTGCCCAGATTCCTTCAGAGATTTCATGACAATTTTCCCTAGTTTCTTAAATTTAATCGCACCACCATCTTCATTCTGCCAAATCCAAGAGAAGACGTTATCACATCACTATGTTATACAATACACCAACAAACACACACAAAATGACCCATAGGTAAATACTTCAGATTCCTGTAAAACGACAAACTAATTATCTATATCATTCTCTCTTGACTCCCTATTCCCTAATCCATGCAGAGGCTACACCTAAAAACAGTGCTCACGATCAAAGGTCAGGGAAAAAAGATGAATTTTCTATGATCTCTCTATAATGAAGCATGAGTAATCCAAGTCCAGATCCTGAATTTCCAATTTTGTATAGATCAAATTCCTTCACCATATTCCAAAAACACGAAAAGATTTTATTTACTAGAATCCGGAAACTTACAGATTTCAAAGCGGCCGTAATCAGCTTTTTCCACTTTATAGTCTTCTTGGCAATGTCCTTGCCAGCACTGGAATGTGGTTCTCCATCTTCCTCTGTTGCACTTTGTTTGGCCTTTTTCGAGCCCTTTTCTTTTTCTGCTCCTATAATTTGAGCATCACCATTTTCAGATGCCTCGAGTTTTCTCTTCTTGTTTGACTCCAAAGAGTTATCCTCCAAAACAGAGCCATCAAGAGCAGCTTTAGGCGAGTTTTGATCTCTTAGTTCCACTGACTCCTTAGTTTCAAGAACTTCATCTTTTGCATTATTGTCATTGGAACTTTTGGCTTCTGCAGTGCCATCCGGCGGCTGTTTTGATGCATGGAATGCTCTTGCTTTTGCCCTGTGCTTTTTCCCATCGGCATGGAGGAGCAGGGTTTGCTTACTTGTGGCCTTGGTGTTACATAGGCTGGACAAATTTGAAAAAAAAAAAATGGTAAAATATTGAGACCCATGATAACTCGAAATGAGGTGGAGTAAGGAGACATGTAAGGCATGAGAAATTACCATGCAGCAAAAAAAGTTCATACACCCCGAAAAAAAATAGATCATGCACACTTCTCAACTCATAATGGTTGATGAAAATTGAGTAAATGACAAATAATAACATGAGCCATATGGCTCAAACAAATAAAAGCATACTATACAACAGTGGAGCTTATTATCCAAACTCACAATGTGCTCAATGGTTGAGTACAGAACTAAAAATTCATTCAGCAATGAGTATTCAGCATGCTGTATCCTCTTTATTTTTTAAAAATATACCTTTCTAGGTCATTGTTACAAGTCTTCCACAGAACCATCGCCCAAAAAATTAAAAATTGAATTCTAATAACCAATTCTTTTACTTCCATCTTGTGGGAGAGATCATAATATAACGAACCGTAAATTCATCAGTCAGGAATGAAACATACGGCACATTCATAAGCCGAAAATTACCTGCAGAACCATGGAGGGCGTTCAGACAATCCGACATTTATGTCGACCTCTGGTTTTGGCTTTGCATCATTCTTGGTCTTAGTGTTTGTTCCATTCACAGCTTTTGTTTGACCCTTTGGACCATATTTTTCCTGCATGCACAATGAGCAAAACCTTAAAAGACAACAATCAAATTCCAGTAGCAGTACCAATTCAGTGGCATAGTATAATTCAAGCGTACAGACATTTCTCCAATTAGAAAACAGCAACCGAAATCATTTTGGAGAGCCAGTTGAATTCGCACCAGATCAACGTACAGCCAAAAAAGAAATAACATACACAACAGCCACACTGACATTAATCACAAATAGGGCTGCAAACGAGCCGAGCCAAGTCAAGCACTGGCCTTATCAAGCTGTGTTTACTGTTTTTTATTGTTGCTTGAACTCGACGACCTGAACATTTTTAGGCTTCACTCGAATGGACAAAAAAAATGTGCTTGGCATGAATTTTGCTGAGGTCAGTTTCAAATTTCAATAAAAAAAATGTCAAATTAGGGGAATTTAGGTAGATATATGTATATTCGAGAGGATATGCTCAAGCTTACAAACTACATGCTCTTCAAACTCAGATTCGAGCTAGTTCAATCACAAGCTTGAGCTGAGAATTGACTTTGTGTGATCGAGGGCTGCTCGACACAGTTTGCAGCCCTAATTTACCAATGACCCAGATGAAAACAAAAATGAAAGAATTTATAACAGGAAAAATTTTACCGCTTCAGTAATGCACTGAGTGTGGCTTTCAACATCCTGCTGCCCAAATATTTGCCCACAATCGATGCACGATAACTAAAAATCAAAGTCAGCATCATCAGAGAAAAGTGAGCTACAGAACCAAAAGCAATTCAACAAAGGGACACTAAATTCAACATTCTTTTCTTGAAAAAGGATAAAAGAGGGAGAGCCGTGGAATGTGGGAACCTTGAAAGCAGAGCATTGTCTGAAATGATTGGCGAGCTTGGGTTTCTTAAGGTTGTCTCCACAGTCCTCGCACTGAAACCACACCATCGCTCCCCACCTCCACTGCGTCTGCGTGTGTTCTGTCGATGATGGAAAGTTCTTGATGGCCTTGCCTTTGAATTTTGGGGTTTTGTCTAGGGTTTAGTAGAAGTTACAAAATTATATAAACTACTTGGGATATATCTCCAAATAGACCTCAAATAAAAGTGAAGCCCACTGGGATTAAGATCCCAAGCCCGACGAGTTGTTGGGCATATTCTTTTGAAGAAATACCCTCCTGACCACTTTTATTTTATTTATGAACAAAATTCTACCCCAATCCAAAGAAACGAGTGAAACTAATATATGTCTTTTTTTTTTTTAACCAACGATAGATTATTCTCATAAATAAAACAAAGTTCAACATACAATACAAGCCGCAAGATAGGAGCACCACCACACAGTGGCCTAGATAACAAACCCAAAAACTAATCGACTAGAGCTGATCACATTTCCAGGGTATAGCATTTTAGCTCCAAATGAACCTATACCCTTAACAACTAACATACATCTACCAAATCTACCAGCCTCAACACCCATAAACCAAACGTAACCGACAACCTATTACCCCAAACAAGAAAGCCTATTGATTATTATTCCGGATAAAATCTGACAGGTCCTTCTGTGCTGCCTCAACCACTCTATGTGCCGGTCTCATTTCTCTTTCAAACACCCATAAATTCCGGGTCTTCCAAAGCCACCATAAGATATATGTGGACAATTGTAAGAGAGCTTCGGAAATGACCCCTTTGGCTATTGTGCAAATCTGTCTCCACCATGTGATAAAAGTGTCTGTGCTTTGTGGTCCATTCCAATTAACTGGTGCTAGCTTCCAAACTGTTTCAGCAAACCTGCATTTAAACAAAATATGGACTATTGCCTCATCTCCTTCTCCACACATCCTGCATATATGATCTACTTGAACTCCTTTGTTCCTCAGATTAGTGCTCACAGGTAATGAATCATTACAACACTTCCATATAAAATGTTTGATCTTGCCCATTACCTTAAGCTTCCATGTCCTTTCTCTACACCTCATATCAGTCTCCAAATCCTTGCTTGATTGAGCTGTCATTTGTCTAAGGAATTTGTCAGTAATTAATTTGGAATATGTGGACTGAACAGAGAACATACCTTTCCTCTGTGGTTCCCACCTCCATATGTCCTCCAAATTAGGATCCAATGTATCAATTTTAAGAATAGAATTACTGACTCAGGAGTAAATGTTGCCCTGACTTTGCTAACATCCCATTGAGTTCCATCCTCATTCAACAAATCTTTCACCTTCTGCACTCCCCTGGCAACTCCTGGTAACAACTGCACCTCCTTTCCCAGTCTATCTGGAATCCAATGCTGATCCCATATGTTGATGTTTTGTCCTGTTCTAACCTCAATCCTCATCCACTGACCACAAACCTTGAGTACTGACAGCCAACTAGCCCAAAACCATGATGAATTATGTGTCTTTTGAGCTTCAAATAATGATGAGCTGGGATAATATTTAGCTTTAAGCACTCTGCTCACTAACCTGTCAGGTTCTGTCACCAACTTCCACAACTGTTTAGCTATCATTGCTATGTTGAACAACTGTACATCCTGGAACCCCAGGCCCCCATGAACCTTAGCCAGAGTTAGCTTGTTCCATTCAACCCAATGTAACCCTTTCTGGAAATCTGTTCCCTTACTCCAGCAAAACTGCCCACACAATTGAGATATAGCTTTGCATAATCCTGTAGGCAGTACAAAACAAGACATAGAAAAAACTGGTAAAGCATTAAGGACAGCTCTGATCAAGACTTCCTTACCTGCAGTGGACAGCCATTTATTCTTCCAACTCTGGATTCTGCTCCTCACAGCCTTCAAAACAAAATCAAATGCCTCCTTTTTTTATCTACTTATTCCCATAGGTAGACCTAAATATCTTGTTGAAGTATGTCTTTGAATTCCAGGCAATAATGAGCAAATTCTGTTTTGGATTTCTATTGGGGTATTTTTACTAAAAAAGATGGTGGACTTGCACATGTTAACTTGCTGGCCAGTAAATTCTTGAAAGTGTTGCAGGATTCTCAATAAACACATAGTTTGTCTTACTTCTGCTTTGCAAAAAATCAATGTGTCATCTGCAAACATTAAGTGAGTCAAGGTGGGCCCATCTCTTGATAATCTCAAACCTGCAAAACTGCCTTTATCCACTTCTCTTCTGATCCTTGCAGACAATAATTCAGAGATGATTAGAAACAAATATGGAGATAATGGATCTCCCTGTTTAATTCCTCTAGAAACTAATATATGTCATATGTGCTTACATGTATTTTTTATATGTCATATGTGCTTACATGTATTTTTCTCTTTTATTTAACCATCACTTCACGTTATTTATATCATACTTTTTCATCAAATCACCCTTATTTATTTTATTTTAAATATTATTTTATTATAAATTCAAAAACCCACTAACAACTAATCATACCACTTTTTTCAAATTAATCATACCAAACCAAAAAATCCAAACAAAATCAAAAACAATTTTATCCAAGCATCCTCTTAGAACCTTGTTTTGAAGTTGGTAATTGTGAATGTAAAGAAGTGGAGTTGATAGCTTATTGGATAGCTTATTTACCGAGTTCTGACTCAAGTCTTTTGTGTTTTACAAATTCTTGTTTGTAGTCGACCTAACAGAAAAATCACCACTGTCTCTAAGAACAGTGCAGTCATAACCTCACAATCCTTAATTTACACACACTCTCATGCACGTTCCCTAACGGCAAGCACAATATTCCCACCTAATCGATAAAGTGTGTCGAGCTATTATTCGGTTTGAACAAAAATATAGGTTCCAATCGAAAAAGGTTAGAGCCGAGATTGAATTCAACTCGCCACTATATGGCTTTAGATATAAGGTTGTCTAATATGGAAAATATTATCTTCTCGCTTTATCATTGTTCTTTCTCTCCTATCATCCTTTCAAATTTAGGGCGTGCTTGGATACAAATACACCACTTAAAATGAGTTTGTTTTTTGTTAACTATGGTTAATTCTAAAAAATGTGATATGGTTAGTTAGCGAGATTTTGAATTTATATTAAAATAATATTTAAAATAAAATAATTAAATATAATTTGATGTATAAGTAGGAGATAGATTATGTGAATAATTGATTATTTAAAATTATATAAGTTGATGAATAGTTAATTAAAGTTGACGTAATGTGTAAAAATGATTGATTGATATTATTTAATTATGTTGATAATATTGAGGATAGTGAGATTGAGTTAAAGTTGAGTTGAATATTAAGTATGAATTGAAAAAAATTATCAACAAACAATTATAACTATTTTTGTATTTTTAATAATAGTTAGACTTCATGGTCGAAGTCTTAAAAATATGGCCCTATAAGTTAGACCAACTTTTAACCATATATCATTCATTGGAGGTGCTATAGCATCACATCCCAAAAAGATGTGAAAAATTAAAACCAAGTTTTTCTATACTTACAACCTTCTTTTTCTTTTTTATATTAATTAGTTGAATCACTTGATAAATTATAGTATTATTTTCACTATTTAGCTCAATTTCCTAAATAAGAGAACCATTTTAGTATTTAGGATCTTTTCAATTGATTTAAAATGGAAAAAAAAAATAATAAAACAAAGAATTCGCTTACTTGAAAAATATGGTGGCCGGTGGGTAGAGCTACAAACGAGTCGAGCGGCTCACGAACCGAGCGCTCGACTCGAGCTCGAGTTGGACCGAACTTGAGTCGAGCTCGAGTGGCTAGTCCATATTTTGCATTGTCGAGCGACTCGTCGAGTGACTCGATATATATTAAATTACTAAAATACTTCTTATATATATTTAAATATTATAGCACAAGTGCTTGATGATAATTTCACTTAAAAAATTTCGAGCCGAGCTCGAGCATTTGATTTCGAGTCGAGCTCGAGCTATTGTATTTTCTTATCGAGTTGAGCTCGAGCCTCATAAATCGAGCTCGAGCAGCTAAAAAAAAATTCAATCCTGCTCAATAAGGGCAATGCTCGACTCGACTCGGATCGCTTGCAGCCCTACCGGTGGGGAGTGGTTTGTACGCAAACGTCTCTAAATTTAGAGATATATATTATTGATAAACTATTTTGTGTGCCAGCAAATGTTAGGCGGCAACCAATTGTAAAACCCTTAATATTTGCACTTGCAAACAGAAGGCTAATTGTCTTTAATTATAAAAATCATCCTTTTTAGTACAAGAGCGCAATTTACACTTTTGCCATATAATGGTGAAATGGTCTTCACCCGGGCTCCTTCAACTCGGACGATCTCCGAACCTGCAAGAACTCAACGCCGGGAGGGGGTCCCGGCGTCGGGCCTCCGATGCCTAAGTCAGCACTCACTAAAATGAGAGTGTAGTAATGAATGCAGAGAGAATGAGAGAATGAGATACCTTAGCACCTTTTATAGGGAAAGTGTACCTTATGACCCAAGTTGTGTTTGTCTAATACTATCTTGCCACGTGTCCTAGTCCATGTGTAGGCTTATTATCCAATATATTTCTTTTTTATCCATTAAAACCGGTCTAATATAATATCTTATATCACACACACACACATATATGTAATTGATTACATACATTAATGCGGAACTTAGTTAATCGTTAAGCTAATCGATCTATCATAATTCGTGAATAAAATGCATATTTATATAATTATACTATCAAATTTCATACTTAAATTGTTTCTAAAAGTATGGCACATTTTAAAATGTATTTATATTCACAAAAATATTATACATATAAGAGCATTTCAATGCTTAAATGTTGTGGTAAATTGTATTCTACATGAATATATTTAGTAAAGTCACTATTTTTCATCCTCCGATGCATAATGTGATAAAAAATATTGTGATGATATGAACATAGTTAATGTTTACAATGTAGGAAGAATGTGGTCCATTCACATTTTCCTATACTTTACCTAACTAATAAAGAGGAGAGAGAATTGGTCTTACCAATTCCAACCTATTTAATTATATAATTATATTTATTTATTCTTTTTTAAATGTTTAATATTTGGTAAGTTGACAATATTGTAGTTAGACTATTAATTTTTTTTTTAAATTTCATAATTATTAATTAACATTTTTCTTACATGCTTCACAAATCAGTGAATCACAAGTCACAACCCATTTAATTTATTGACATTTATCAAAATTTATTCTATAATAAGTTAACAACATTGAATCATTGGCAATGCTCTAATCATTAGGCCATCCTGATAATATGTTGACCATATTTTGATAGTAAAGCGTCAAATTTAGAAAAAAAATTCACTCGATAACAAAATTTTTGACAGAAAAATACCTATTACGGATAATAAATATTTCAACTTTGTATATGGATATAATATAGATCATTGTTGTTCCATTTCTACCATATTAAAATTTACAACAAGGTTGGTGTTAGTAAGCCATAGTTATACATCCATACTTATTCAATATCTATATACGTGAGAATCCCCCCTATCTATTAATTCAGAACGTGCTGAGCCTAAATCGTAGGCTCGCATGCTTCGGAATATTACTTGGCGAAATTTCATGCTTCGGTATTTGGTTTGGATAAAATTAATGTTATTTTTATTCTATAAATTTAGGTTCGGACATTCCATATATATATATTAAAAAATTAACTTAGGTAATTTTATAACACTTTGACTGATATAACCCTCCAATTATTTTGTAATCTTACATCTAACAACAATCAAGGCATATTTATTTGTAATATTACACAAGCTAACAGAGTAAAAAACGGAACCATCAATATTCCATTATTTTCTTTCCAAATGGTGTATGTCATCTTCCTCTTTCCAAATGGTGTATGTCCTCTTCCTCTTCCTTTTCCAATTGAATTTTCTGTCAAAATTAAAACTCTTCATCCCACTTTCAGTAAGGTGCCTCTTTGATTATGTTGGTTAGTTGATTTTCCCCAATTTGATAAACCCTAGCAATTGGGTTCAATTGATTTGAGCTCGATTTTTTCGTTTTTCGAGAGTAAACGCACAGTTCTCTCTCTCACAAACTGAGTTGATTTTCGTGAATTCCCATTTTCTCTTCCTTCAAATCCTAGAACTCTATGTCAATAAAGGATCGAATGCTGGACTCTGAAAAGGAAGATAATGGTTGGAGTCCCTTATCTCTCATCTCCTTTTGATTGAAAGCAGTCCCTGAAGCGGGAGGATCCTTCTAATTGATTGCCAGATTCCAATTTTCAGTGATTGAAAGCTCTTGCGCTTTGAGCCATTAGGAAGCGATCTTAAGGCGTGCCGGCTAATGTTGATGAAGAATATCGACTTGCCCTTTTGCCAGATTCCACGTTCGCCTTGGCCTTAAGCAAAAACCGGTTCCTTCCTCGCGATTAATGGTGCGAATCTCTTGGCCCTTTTGTACTTTCTTCTATTTGCTGTACAGATAATTTGATTAATTTTAATATAATCCTTTGTTTTTCACCTTTATTAAATTTTTTATTGTAGTAATTTTGGGGATTAATAGATGATATAGTCTCCATGAATCAATAAAAATCCCCCGTTTTGTGTCTCTTTTTTCCAAAGATTTTATCACAATCACATAAATCACAATAAAAATCTCCCGTTTTCTGTCTCTTTTTTCCCAAGATTTTATCACAATCACATAAATCACAATAAAAACCGATTTTCCTTTAATTTTGTGGTCATTTATATTATTCCTTATTTTGTGTACCTATAAAATTTGTTTCCATTTTGTTAGTCACATCCCCTTTTGGTATTTGATGTTGAAATCAAATTTTTATTTATTTCCATAAATATTTTATTCACACATCTCAAGCTTAATATACTACCATGTATAAAAGGAACTATTTAGTTCATTCTTTTTTATTTGAGTGGGTAAGAAGAGTGTACATCACGTACAATTATGTCAACTACATTAAACTCTATTGGTGAAATCACTAAAGAAAAAGAGACATGGCGAATTCGTGTTCGTTGTTTGCGAGTATGGTTTAAGCACGTGCTAAACCAGCCCGAAATGCGCCAAACTATGGAGATTTGTATTGTTGATGAACATGTATTGCTTTTCATATTAACTTTATCTATCATTTTCGGTTCTTTTTTTTTTTGCCATTTGTTTTCTGTCAAACTAATTTATACTAATTTATATTGCAACTTTTTTATAGGGTGATAAGATACAAGCGACGATTCCGAAATGGCATATTTCAAAATTTGAGGAAATAATTCTTGAAGGAAATTTTTATGTAATGGGAAACTTTGAAATTTTGGACAACACAGATGACTATAGTGCTACCCCACATAAGTGTCTGTTGAAGTTTCATAATTTGACGTCCGTGAAGCTGCTGTTAGAGAATCTTAACATTCCTCGATACATGTTTAATTTCGTTACCTTTGACGAGCTTCGGAATAACCATGAGTACAATTCGCGTTTATTTGGTATGTAAAAGAAACTTCATATTCGACATTTATATTATTATTATACTAATATGAATATTAGTTTCATGTAATATCTGGTTACATGTTCAGAGTCCAACAAACCAACTAATTTTATTCGTATTTTCATTATTCTTATTGTCATGTAGATGTGATTGCCGAAGTCTATGATGTTGATGAACTTGTCAAAATGGATCGGGATGGTAATCAATTGACGAGAATTAAGATACATCTCCGGAACTTGAGGTATGAGATCTGCTGAGTCCCCAAATTATTTATGTTAGATTGCAGGTTTAAGCATAATTGATATACAGGGTTTCTAAATGAATGAGAAATTTTATCTTTCACTGCCTACATTCAATATTTATTCTGTTTAATGGCTTTTTCAGTTATCATATAATGGGCTTCATTCACATTTGGTACTGAATTAGTTGTTTTCAGTTATCCTATAATGGACTTCATTCACATTTGGTTCTGAATTAGTTGTGTTGTTTTTAAGTCCTCAATTGTCCTGTACTGGGTTTGAAACCCACGTCTGGTATTGAATCAGATGTATTGTAGCCTCATCTTTTACTTTCTACTGGATATGATTTAATTTTTATGTTTGTATCTTGGCTTTGATGTGAATAGGTACAGAGATAATTTGTGTTTTTATCTTATTTTTTTTAGCGGCGATACCATGCATTGTACATTGTGGAACAAATTCGCTATGCAAATGACTGAATTCTGGAAATCCAACAATGATGTTCCAGTGGTTATTATACTTCAATATGCCATGGTGAAAAGATGGGGAGGTAATAACCCAATCTTATGATTTATCCTACAATTTATTTTATAAACAATAAGTTTAAATTAAGTTTTGGTTGGTTTAAACACAGCGCATGTGAACTTGCAAAATTCTCTGTTTGCAAGTAAGTTGATGATTAATGAAGATGTTGGTGACATTGCTTTGACTCGGTGAGGAGGAAAAAGGAGAAGACTTTTGGTGCGATAATTGTAATTGTCGTCCTAATGTCGCTTTGACTCGGTGAGGAGGCAAAAACTATATCAATTGATATTTATACTTTGTTTAGTTTTTTATAACATACTATATTTTTTGTCAATAACAATATACTAACTAATTTTATCTTCACGACTGAATAGATATCGTGTGCACGTCCGTGTGGAAGACAATACTGGAAGTGCCTCCTTTATTCTTTTTGACCCTCAAGTCTTTCCCATTATAGGGAAACGAGCTGCAGACCTAAAACATTCACTAGATATGGTAACCAAATTTTATTTTTGTTCCAAGTGAATCATATTCTGTCTTCATGAATCATATTGTGTCTTAATTAATTTAGGCTGGTGATGGGGACTCATTTCCCGATGAGCTTGAACAATTAGTCAAGAAAAGCTATTTATTCAAATTGGACATAAAGAGGTTCAATCTAAACCAGCGCATAAGGGTCTACACAGTAGCAAAACTCACCCAAGATGCAACAATCATTTCTAAATGGTGCAATGCAGTTTGTGATGACATGGTATATTATTATTATTATTATTATTATTATTATTAGTTTTACATTTCTTTTTTTAACAAATTTATATGATGTTCAAATTGCTAATTCTTTCTTATAGACTACTACTAAGGACAAATCTCCTGTGGAATCGTCTGCCATTGAACCATTCATTGAACTTGATACAGTTAGTACAAATTTTAGGGGACATTAATTAAAGTTAAATGAATTTCAAGCCCCAGTCGTATTATATAAACTTTGTAAGCATAAAATTAATCTTTTGCTTTTCTCTTATCCTTGTAGAGCATTGTTTCATCGGTCGGTGATAGTGCGAAAGGAGATGAGTTGACTCCCTCTTCAAATAAGCGTGTCGCTGTTGACAATAATCTTGAAGCTTTTGTTGATGAAGATTTTCATTCGCAACAGTCATGCACTAGAAAAAATGCAAAAGTCAAAGTTGAGAAGATAGACATTTAGTTCTTTTAATTAAGTTGTTGCATTATTAGTCTTAGATTATGCACTTGATGCAGTAGACAATTGTTCAGACGATGTTTGTTTTCGTCTTTCGTTTTATGGGATGATTAATTACCAACTATCTTTTGTATTAACTCTATGATTTTCATTTCCATTAAATATTATTATCTTATCCTATATTGATTTGGAATCATATTGTCAATATTCAAGGGATGATTAATTACCAACTATCTTTTGTATTAACTCTATGATTTTCATTTCCATTAAATATTATTATCTTATCCTATATTGATTTGGAATCATATTGTCAATATTCAAGATTAGCAATATTATCGCATCCCAATAATCATATTTTTTTATTTTTTCAGGGTCACAGAAATTAGCCCAATTTTAACTTCATGTCTTTGTTAGCCTAATGAATAATGATGAATTAAATTAATACATTTAAAATGATATCATAAATTAAGAACTACATACTAATATAATAATCTATATATATACTTATATAAAACATTATATAAGTATATTAATTTAATATCCATTAATTTTTTGGGTTTTTTTATTTTCATTTTTCTTATTAAATATGAATATCCTCTTGGAAAACATTATAGTGTTTTTTAATTTTTTTGATATCTATTTAGGTAATAGATAATATTAAAATTATTATTTATTATATTTAATTGACATTCATTCATATACAAAATAAATTGTAAGTTTATTAATTAGGGGTGAGATTTTAAAACCGACAACTGCAATACCGAGCCGTATCGAATCGAAAAAAACCGATTCTATTAGGTTATTATTTAATATGCTACGAATTTACCGGTTCGGTANTCTGCCCAGGCGCACGTTTAGAATTTTTCTGTCTCCAATAGAACACTTCTTGCAACCAGTCGCGCCTTGTCCCCTACCATCAATTCGACCTTATCGCCTAAAGAGTATCTGCAAATTCATCCCTCGCCCCTTTCTTTTGTTTCCCTCCACCGTCTACCGGCTCGCAACCCGCCACATTGCTTGGCGTCTTTGACAAAGCTTTTGATGGTGGGATAAATCTATGCACCTAATACTCTATCTAGGTGAATTCAATTCAAATTCATGTTCTGGAGATCAGCTAACAATTGGTAGTAAGGGATGAAGGTTTCATGTTATTTTCTTTATTTTTTAATTTGAATGGATTTTGGTAGATGTGTGCTTTATGGTGAATGTCCAAATAAATGCATTTTTCAGTGGTTATTTTCCATCTCTGGGAAATTCCCGGACTGCTACTATCAGTGGATTGTGTGGGGAAAGTTGGGAGTTCGGTAAATTCCGAAGCGTGCTTACTATCAGTGGTTATTATTTTTCAATGGACATTTTTTTTCAAACATGATATTTGGTATATGAATGATCCACATGTGGTGATAGTAACATGGACTTTTCAGCAGAGATGTTGATTTTTTCAATGTGCAATTCATACAAAAGCCTACAAACTTATTATATAGAATAGTACTTGTGTTCGATGAACATTTTTATTGATTGTTTAAATGGAGCTTAGTCGAATAGAATCACACAACTGCTTGCTATTGTCTTGGTTTGCTGCCAAACATAGGGCTTTATGTGACAGTGTTCCACGTTCAACTTGTTTACATCTTTGCAGGGCTTATCTTACTGTAGCATTATTCTTATGGTCCAAAATTATCGTTGATCTTATGCTTCAACCGTTTATGTAGTCGCTTAAATCATGAGTATGGAAAGCGCAAAGACCAACAGACATATTAGAATGGAAAAGTTGAAAGAAAAACGTGGAATTTTTCATTCTACAAGCGATAATATTCCAATTTTGTCAGGTGAATTTTTAAATATTATAGATTCTTTTTGTATGTGAATACATATATTATATAAGTTTTTCGGTTATTATAGCTTAGTTGGTATATTTTCTAAATTTTGATTTATAGTTGAAGAAGGTTCAACATTACAAAATCCGTCGAGTCATGCAAGAAAGGTGAGGAAGTCCTATTTGGATTCTAGACGAGGTACATCTTTATGTAGTAACAAAAATGCATTTATGTTTTTTAAATTATTTATAGTTCATATGCTCTTGTCCAATGTGATATATTTATATTAATAACTCCAATATTACTTCATGTGAATTATCTACCTATTTTTGTAATTATTCATTGCAGACAAGACACCCCTTCAAGAAATTCAACATCCACTATCAGATATTACTAATCGCAGTCATTGTAAGTTTCGTTATCTTTTGAACATATAAGAACTGCAAAAATATTATTTACTATCGTTAATAAAGTTTTAGTTGATATGTAAAAATTGTACATAGTGTATTTTATATAGCATAAATCTATCAATTGTATTATATCATGTAACAACTAATTTTACAAGCGCTAATATTCCAATTTTGTCAGGTTGAGTTTTTAAATATTGTAGATTCTTTTTCTATGTGAATACATATATTATATAAGTTTTTCTTTTATTGTAGCTTAGTTGGTATATTTTCTAAATTTTGATTTATAGTTGAAGAAGGTTTAACATTAGAAAATCCGTCGAGTCATGCAAGAAAGATGAGGAAGTCCTTTTTGGATTCTAGACGAGGTACATCGTCATGTAATAACAAAAATGCATTTATGTTTTTTAAATTATTTACAGTATATATGTTCTTGTCCAATGTGATATATTTATATTAATAATTCCAATATTACTTAATGTGGATTATCTACCTATTTTTTTAATTATTCATTGCAGACAAGACACCCATTCAAGAAACTCAACACCCACTATCAGATATTACTAATCGCAGTCATTGTAAGTTTCGTTATCTTTAGAACATTGAAGTGCAAAAATTTTATTTACTATTGTTAATAAAGTTTCAGTTGATATGTAAAAATTGTATATAGTGTATTTTATATAACATAAATCTATCGGTTGTATTATATCAAGTTTATTATTTAATATAAGTCATACCAATTTTTAAATCATTGTAGGTGTCCAGCGTTCCAGAGATCAACAAACCCGTGCAGCGGGAACCGATAGCTCATATGGTATATTTTACTCATTATACTAATGTTTGTAATGAGATATAATCGTATGGTATAATTCTATTAACTTCGTAATTTTATACATTAATCACAACATTAGTTGACCGCTACTATTTTGATCAGGTGATAATAGTGTAAGACCACCGTTGCCAACGAACAAACGACAAAGGCTACAGAAAAATATTTTGTCTTCAGTTGCTCGAACACTAAACCTTGGTGACGATGATAACATTACTGAATCATCTTTGGACTCGGTTAACGGTAATAATTTTCATTCATAGTTTTATTATTCTTTATTTTTTTTATTGAAGTTGTTTTATAGGTACTGTTTGAGAAGTTTCACCTTCTAATGTAGACTTGAGTAATTATATTTCATTATTTTTTTAAATCTATTGCATTATACATATACAATGTTTATTAAAAAAACATTTTTTGTTATTTTCGTTCAGGATATCAAGATATTGGAGATCCAACTTTTAAATGCCCATTTTGTCATGCAATTTTGTGGTATGAAGAACGTGCTAAGAAAAGTGAGAAGCCGAAAAATCCATTGTTTTCTCTTTGTTGTGAAAAAGGAAAAGTGCAATTACCATTGCTTCGTCCACCACCTCCACCACTGAGAAATCTACTCACATGTCAAGATCAGCGAAGCCATAAGTTCCTTGATAATATTCGAGCGTACAATAGCATCTTCAGCTTCACGTCAATTGGAGGAAAAGTTGATAAATCCATTAACAATGGCAGTGCACCTTATGTTTTCAAGCTAAAAGGGGCTAACTACCATAAAATAGGGAGTTTACTGCCAGTATCTGGTGCTGCACCCAAGTTTTCTCAGTTGTACATATATGACACTGAAAATGAGGTGGACAACAGAATGAATGCAATGAGGTACATACTTAATTATATTCAATTACACAATAAATAAAGCATCTCTCACATAAAATTTTTATAATTTTATTTCATCAATTGTCAGTTCTCGATCTAGAAGCAACCAATGCAATCTAGACGCTGAAGTAATCAACGATATAATGAGGATGCTTGATGAACACAATCCCTTGGTCAAGTCCTTTAGATTTGTCAGGGATCGTTTCCAATCCGGCTGTTCCGACAATCTTAAACTCAGGCTTATTGGTGGAAGAGAAACTGATGGTAGAGTTTATAATCTCCCTACAGCCCATGAAGTAGCAGCTCTCATTGTTGGTGACTTTGACGATTCCTTTCAACGTCGAGATATCATTATTGAGACACATTCTGGAAAATTGAAAAGAATAGATGAGTTGCATCCGTCATATCTTCCTTTACAATATCCATTGTTATTTCCATATGGAGAAGATGGATTCAGAGTTGGGATTAGTCATAGCGAAGCTTCTATCATCAATGCAAAGAAAAGAGACAAACTAACTCAGCGGGAGTTCTTTGCATTTCGTATACAACAACGAGATAATGAGTGGAACTCACTTCTATATGGTCGGCGTTTATTTCAGCAATTCTTGGTGGATGGATACACTATGGTTGAATCTTCCAGGCTTAATTACATTCGTTTTAATCAACCTTCTCTGAGATCTGAAAAGTTTAACAAACTACAAGATGCTATCTCAAGAGGTGAAACAGATTCATCTACTGTTGGTCAAAGAATATTTATGCCGAAATCTTTTACGGAAGGTGACAGGTATATGAGCCAGAACTATCATGATGCTATGGCACTTTGCAAGTGGTTTGGTTATCCCGATTTATTTATTACAATGACTTGCAATCCTAAGTGGCCAGAAATTACAAGATTTCTCACCGTCCGAGGTTTGAGGCCTGAAGATAGGCCGGACATTGTTTGTCGGGTGTTCAAGATTAAGCTTGATCAACTAATTAAAGACATTAAAGACAACGAAATTTTTGGCAAAACTCGAGCAGGTAATTCTATTTGTAATTTGGTTCGTTCCAAGATCTGGATTATTATTATTATTATTATTATTATTA